GTGCACTGGTCGGACTGAAAGACAAGAGGGAAAGCGACGTTGGGACAGGGGCGGGATGTTGGGGACTCTCTCTTTGGGCTCCGTAATAGCTGAAGACCGATCCAGTCCCACAGAGACTACAAAGCCTTCCAGGGCTGCAGCGTTGTGTTGCGCACCATTTAAAAGCTGAGCCCGGAAGTGGATCTGAAAACAACAGTCCGAGCCCTTCAGGGTCTGCGACGCTCCCTCCCCTCCAGATCCTCACCAGCTTGCGGATCCGGTCCAGCACCGGATCGATGATCTCCTTGCCGATGGTATAGTGGCCACGGGCATAGTTGTTAGCAGCGTCCTCCTTGCCGGTGATGAGCTGCTCTGGATGGAATAGCTGGCGGTATGGGCCATTGCGGATCTCATCTGGAAAGGCATCAACCACTGAGTTAGAGCAAAAACCGCTATCCTGGGCGCAGCGGAGATCCTCCGCCATCAGCCTGGTAGCTGAGGTCAGATGCAGGGAAGAGCACATCCTTCTGCCAGCCATGAGATAACAGAGGGAGAGGAACCCAGCCCCGTTGTCAAAACCAGCCCCAGAGCGGCTGGTCTTCTTTTATTTTTAAACCTTTTTTCTGTGAATGGGGCAAAGGTTTACCCAGCAGCTAGCTTTCCATTCAACAGTTCATCCACATGTCATTGATGAGTCCCCCCAGTGACACCTCACGTGTCCCTTCCCTTGTGCTTTCTTTTTCCAGCCCCCCTTTCCTACCCCTTCAGAACTCTGCCCTTGTATAAATTAAATGCTGGCCGTCAAATCAAATGGCTGGTGACTCTATATCTTTCTAGTGAACCTGTTGCCCCACCCCTGCTCCTCCATCTACTGTTTGGCTGAAAACTCTTTGCCAGTCTCTGGGACTAGGAAGCCTGTTTTTTGTTTTTTAAGAACTTGACGTTTGCACACACACACACACACACACACCCCTCTCCCACTCTTTCCAAGACCTCCTGCTGTGACCCCACTCACAGCAGTGGGCCGGTGGCTGTCAGGCCTAGTTTGCCTTTGTCAGCCTCAAAGAGGGCTAGGGACATCAGATCCCGGCACCCTCTTGCCAGGGAAGAAAGAGGCCAGTCACCCTCCCAGTGCCCTAGACTCCTGCCCCTCTTCTCACCGATCACTGTGGGCTCCAGGTCCACAAATACGGCCCGGGGCACGTGCTTCCCAGCTCCCGTTTCACAGAAGAAGGTGGTGAAGGAGTCGTCTCCCCCACCAATGGTTTTGTCGCTGGGCATCTGCCCATCAGGCTGAATCCCATGTTCCAGGCAGTAGAGCTCCCAGCAGGCATTGCCCATCTGGACACCTGCCTGCCCCACGTGGACTGAGATGCATTCACGCTGAGGGAATAGACAGAGGGGACACGGCATGAACCCCATACCATATTGCTTCCCCTCATGAGCCCCCACCTCTTACTCTATCCCTACCAGCTAATAGCATGACTCAGCTTGGAAGCAGCAGTGGGGGCGTGTGGCTGGGCAATGGTCAGATGGGCTACCCAGTCTCAGTACTCCCCCACCAGAGGTATCCAGGACAGGCCAATCCCTCGGCCGCCTTCTCAGTGGGGAACTTGTCCACGGAGAGCTGTGGCGCTTCATGACCCTGCCATGTCCACAAGACACCCAGGGAGGACGCAGAGGGCAAGGTATACATTGCAGCCACCAGGACAAGAGAATTTTCAGCCGGATCCCTCTTGCTGCCCACAAAGCGAGCTTCACAAGAGTCTGCCACGGCTCCGACGGCTGCCAGGGGCTGAGTTTACAGCGGGAGGTCCTCACCTGGGTCTTTCCTTTGAGAATGAACCACTAGAACTTCACACAGGCCCCCTCCCCTCTTCTTTCCTATGGGCTGCAGGTGCCTCAGCTTGCACCAATTGACCATATTGGATGGCCTCTTCCCCCACCTTTAAATCCATCTGGCGCTGGGGAAGCAAACCCATCTGGCTCCTCTCCCCACTGCCACCCCCGCATGGCGGGCGTCTTCCCCACCTACAGACACCTCAGTAGCCAGGACCAAATGACCAATTTCGAGCCACATCGAAGGGGCGCCGAGGGCAGCCCCGGCACTAGGGGCTGCGTACTCTGGGACCCTCGCTGCTGCCTTAGGCTCAGTCCCTCCCAATCCGGTTAACCCCTGAAGCACCAGAGTGGTAGGTGGATGGCGCTGGGGCCCCGCGCAATTTCCTTTCGCAACCCCGAAATGGCGGGACGACGGTTACCAAATACCCAGAAAAGGAAGCGGAACCTGCGGTAGGGCCACGATGGTAACCGGGTGAGCTCCGCCTTGCTCACCGGACCAGCATCTGCCGTCCCTCTACATTCTTTGCAGTTACTTCCCAGCCCAAGGCGGGGGTTGAATTTCGGCCCCCGCTTTCCGGCTATAAATACCACCCAACGACCCCCTCCCCCACCGGGCCCCGGCCCGCGCTCTCGCTCCGCGCCAGCTGTCTCTGCCTGTCCGCGCACCAGGCTCCGGACGGAGAGGCCGGCTCTCCGCCTGGTGCCAAAGCCCATTCCCGCCACCCCTCTAGGTTCGGAAGCGGGGTGCTGAGTCACTGGGCGGGGTGGGGGTGGGGGCCCGCGGGCAGTAAGGTGGGTAGGAGAAGTGCGTAGGCATAGAAGCGGTGTGGGACCCAGTAACCTGACCCCCTGCCACCTCCTCGGGCCAAGCACGTGCTCAGTTACAGGGCGGGAGGGGCGAGCTGGGCAGCCAAGTGGGTCTCCCCGAGAGCTCGCGCGGGTCCGCGTGACTCCCGCGGATTAGGGCACTAGTGCTTGGTGGAGCTGGGACAGACGGGCAGGAGGACCCCTCTCTGTTAGGGAAGACTGCCACCGCGCCCCGAACCCCGACTCCCAGCCTCCGAGAGTGGACCCCACGGTTAGGGCAAAGTCACCAGGGGGAGGAAGGGGGATGGGGGGGCAAGAAGAGGCCCAAACCCTCGCACTTCTTCGGGACCGGGAAGGTCCACTGGAGGGTCCTGGGAGCAGGGGGAGGGTCCTCAGCAGGAGAGGGAAAGTCGGGGCCCGGCGCGCTGCGGGCCAGGCCGCACTCACCATGGTGAGTCCGGGCGGTGCTTCTCACGTGGAGTCGGGGTGACGGGTCTCGGTGAGAACTGCGCTAGCTGCAGTGCCGCACCGCTCTTATACGCGGAGGCGGGCCCCGCGCGCTCAGCCCGCCCACTGGAGGGCTGGGTAGCCCGGAGCCACTCCCCGACCGAAGGTGGGCCACCACGAGGGGTGGCGCTCCGGCAGGATTCCTCCCCCCGCCACGCCGAGCCCTCTCACCTGCCGGACTTGGCCTGGGAATGGACACAGGGGCTTCAACCCTGCGCTTCCCGAGGCTGGGAGCTGGCACTCCAGGCTCCGGAGTTCCACCACAGGCCCGCAGGGCGCCGTACCAGGGCGCCCCTCGCCTGCGTCCTCGTTATGGGGGCGCCGGTGGTCCAGGTGTGCAGACTTCGGCCGCATGGCATCCGGGCGGTCCTGCGGAGGTGGCTTCGGCCAGCCTTCGCCTGGACCCTCCCCCGCCCACCTCCCGAGCGGCTCCGGCAGGCCGGGGCCCAGCTCGCCTCGTGCCCTGGGAGCCCTCTTCCAGCGGCACGCCGCCTGCGGGTCCCCAGGCGGGACGCCTGGCCTTCGCCGACGGCCGTGAGCGACCAACGACCCGGAGCTGCACAACCTGAGCCCCATGGTGCTGCGGACCCCTAGCCTCTCCCGTAGAGCCAAGCCGCCGCCTGTCTGCGAGGGCTGACCTCGGGAATCTGCTGGGCCCGCCGGCCGGCTGCCCAGCCGCCCAGCCAAGGGCTGTCCGTCATCAGCGCCGTCACTATTAGTGAGCTGGGGTCAAGGCTACCTGCCCACTTCCCTGCCGGCGTGGTGGCCCTGGCGGGCGCCCGCCCTCCTGACCTTCCTTCACATCCCGACTGCCCTGTGGATGGTGACCTTGGACCCGCGAAGCGTCCCAGGTCTTTGGGATCTTCATCAATAAGTAGGAGACAACCGTTCCGACCTGGAAGCATCAGCATTGTTGCGCGTGGTCGCCAGGAAGAGTGGCTCTGAGGAGGGAAAAAGAAACCGAAGATTCTGTTGCCACCGCTGACGTTCGCTCTCACCCTCTTCTCTCTGAGAATCAATTCTATGGCGGTGGGTTTGGCCTGCTTTGGTCTGGGCCCTGCGTGGTGGGCAGGATCTGAGCCCGGGGTCTTAACACGCTGAGGTCCGTCTTTCCACATTCCATTTCCGATGCGAGAGAGAGCAGGGCTGGTTGTAAGCTTGTCCTACTTTCTCTCGCTTGCTTTACGATTCTCTGGCTGCCTCACTCCACCGAGGAAATTAAGCAGGCAGCCGCCCTCAAGTCCTTAAGAACTTTCCCTCCAGGATTAGTTTTCACCTGCCTCTCCTCCACACACCATGAAAGGTCTCCTGGGCTAGGGCCCTCTGACAGTACCACACAGTAAGATACAATAACCCGCGGTGGCAACAGAGTAGCTGGGAAGCGGTACCGTGAAATAGTAGCACATGCATGTAGCTATTTGTGCATACGTCCATTCCACTAGCTAGCAAATGTTTGGAAGGTAAGGAGTACTGCCTGCTTTATCTAGTATGTGTTTAGCACATGGCAGGTCTTTGCTAAGTGTTTATTAAAGGTCTGGCTTCACTGTGGAGCTGCTGGGAGCATTGGTGTGGTCTCCACTCCGATCTGCAGCAACCTACGGGACAGAGTAGAACTGGTTCTCTTGGCTGTGACTCTTATGGGGGTAGATCTCCAGGCCTTTCTTCCACGGAGCTTCTGGGTACGTTTAAACTGCCAAGAATCCTAGTGGCCTAGTGTGCTACGTATCAGGCTGCTAACCACAAAGTCAGCTATTCGAACCGCTCCAGCCACTCCACAGAAGAAAGATGAGGCCGCCTACCCCTGTATGGAGTTGCAATCTCAGAAACCCACAGGGGCAGCAATACTCTTTCTACAGGGTCGCTCTGAGCCAGAACACACCGCATGGCAGTTGGGGTTTCTATCTTACAGTTAGTGATGGAGTGCTAACGGTTGCAATGCCAAGGGTGGGACTAACATTAGGGTAAAACCCCCAAACCAAACCCATTGCCTTTGAGGCGATTCCAACTGATAGCAATGCTGCCGAATAGATCAGAACTACCTCATTGCTTCCTTCCCAAGGGTTCTAGAAGACCACCGACCTCAGGGTGAACCTCTGCATCACTAGAGCTTCTGAACGTGAGGACAACCCTCTAAAAGGTTAGACATCGCAAGCTGGTGGCTGGGAGGGCACATTTCCCCTTAAAAATGTTCTGTTTGGCCTCCACAATGCTAACTTCCGCCATATTAGAATCTTACAAAACCAGGAACTATCATGGTGGTGGGCACTGCCTGACCACCCCTGTGTGTGAAGATTGCTGGGAAGGGCTCAGGGACTTAGGTTACTGTGGGCCCCACAGCTGACGCTGATTATTACAGTGATGCAGCGAGGGCCCAGCCAGCTATTCTGAGGGGAACACACAGGTAGGGTGCTGGGGGGATTGGGGCTCTCCACTCCCCCCTCCGCCCAGCGCTCCCACAAGCACACGCTTCACCAGCAGTGAAAACGCCTAGCACTTCCCTGGGCTGTTTCTTTATTTCTTTTGAAATCATTTTATTGGGGGCTCGTACAACTCTTATCACAATCCATACATCCATCCATTGTGTCAAGCACATTTGTACATTCATTGCCATCATCATTTTCAAAACATTTTCTTTCGACTTCAGCCCTTGATATCAGCTCCTCATTTTTTTTCCCTTCCTCCCTCACTCCCCTGGCTGTTTCTGCCCAGGAAGGCCCACCTGTGAGGCAGTGCCCAGGCTTCTTTGGGGGGCTAGTCTGCAAAGTTTAAGCGTTCAGCTACTAACTGAAAGTCTGGTGGTTTGAACCCAGCCAGTGGGTCTGCAGGAGAAAGATGGGGCGCTCTGCTCCCACAAGGACCCAGCCTAGAGAAACCTATGGGGCACTTCTACCCTGTCACGTGGGGTCACTGTGAGTCAAGGTTTTACTCGATGGCACCTAAAATGGCCACCAAGGGCATCCCTGGGTACTGCAAATTATTAACGCACCCAGCTGCCAACTAGAAGTTTGGGAGTTTGAAGCCACCCAGAGGTGCCTGGCTGTTGAGTTGACTGCCTTCAAATCAGCCATGGAAAACCCTCTGGAGCACAGTTCCACTGGGACACATGTGTCACCCTGGGTCCAAATTGACTTGATGCAGCTGATGCCTGAGTCATTTTATAGGCCCCTCGGCCCAGCACATAAAAAAGTCCAGACACCCCCCCCCCAACAAACAAACAGCTGTTCAGCATACATCCTATTGTCTAAGGCAGGGGGACCTGTCCTCTTCAGTGACATGTGGGCCTGGTCAGGCTGAGAGGCACCTTCCTTCCTGAGAGCAGGAGCCAACATTCCAAGTAGGCTTTCCTAAAGGTGACTGTCCATTCTTTTCTGCACTGTCATCGGAAAACCTGGATTTCTAGTTTATCTTGAAAAAAGAACCGGAAAACCTGGCCTGACCAGGTCTGGTTCTGCATTCACATGTCTCACTGGAGGCAGGGAGACTAATCACTCCCCCCTCCCCCCTCCCGAGCCCACCCCCAAGATGTCCGAATCCTACTTCCAAGAAACTGGGAATGAGTTAGCTCCTTTGGCAAAAGGAACTTTACAAATGTGACAAAGGATTTCGAGCTTCCCCTGGCTTATTCAGGGGGGTGTAGACAGTCACAGAAAGAGGCAGGAGGGAGAGCAAATGCTTTGAGGATGATGAGGGCAATGAATGTACAAATGTGCTTGACACAATGGGTGGATGTATGGATTGTGATAAGAGTTGTACGAGCCCCCAATAAAATGATTTTTTTTTAAAGAGGCAGGAGGGCCAGAATCCGAGGAGAGGCAAAGACAGAAGCAGAGGTGCTAGTGAAGGGATTGCTGTCTTTAAAGAAGGAAGGGGCCACAAGTCAAGGAATGTGAGTGGCCTCGAGAAGCTGAGGAGGCAAGAGAACAGATTGTTCCCCCAGAGTCTTGCTGGCACCTTGATTCTATCCCTGTAAGACTAGTTTGGACTCCACCTTCCAGAACTGTAAAAAACGTAAGAATAACACTTGCATTGCTTTAAGCTGTTACATTTGTGGTGATACGTTACAATAGTATGAAGGCACAGAAGCAGCAACAAATGGCACTGGGTGGTATGGGTATGGCCTTCTCAGGATCCAATCCTGCTCCAGTTCCCCACAATTCTCATCACTCTCTTGGTCTGCTCATGACAGAAGCAGAGTGAGTGCCTGTCGCCAATGAGCATCACACACCCAGCCCCTATGACACACATTTGCTACCCTGGGCCCTGCAGCAAGGAAACCAGAGAAGTCCATGGCGCAAGAAGAAATGCCCAAGCTGTTGAGTCTGTGTGCACGCATGAAGGAGAGTGTGTATTTCCTCAGTGCACATGCAGATGCCCTGAAAGAGGACCACCAGCTCTGAGTGGGCATGCAGGTAATGGTCCACGTGACTATACAGAACACCATCATACATTCACATGCATGTACCAGAGGAGCCCCGGGGGGCATAATGAATCTGCATTGGGCTGCTATCCACAAGGTCAACAGTTTGAAACCACCAGCCACTCTGCTGGAAGAAGGCAAGGTTTTCTTCTCTTGTAAAGAGTTAGCAGTGTCGGAAATCCACAGAGCAGTTCTATCCTGTTCTATAGGCCACTGTGAGTCTGAATCAACTCAATGGCAGTGAATTTGTTATTATTTGGTTTAGACGTACTGAATCTAAAAATCAGTGCCAGCCACTTCACTCTTCCCGTTGAATGGCTTCTTAGCATCAACATGTGTCTGGCAGTCTCTTCTTCTTCTCCTCCTCCTCCTCCTCCTTCTTCTTCCCTTTGCCACTGTTCTTGGCATCTTTCTAACCTTTCCCCTGGGTCCTACCTCCACCCTGCACCAGTGTGGCAGGGTCTGCAAGGCTGAGAGTGTTTCTTGGAGTCCACCTGGAGGTCTCTATGAGCCTCTCCCAGCACCGCCTTCCCAAGAGATGACACACCACACGCCACTGCCTTCATGCCTTCCCTCCTCAATAGGCTCCAGGCTCGGCTCCAACCAAGGTCGCTAAGTCAC